CCTGAATTCTTCCTTCTCATCTCCACGGTAACCATCAAGGCTGGTGATGGCAAGTCCCTTTGTGGATGGGGCACAGGCTAGGAGAGGAGAGGCGCCAGCTAGGTCGGACTCCGTGGCTAGGGCATGAATCTGTGCTGACGCCCAGACCTAGGAACCATTGGGCATGAACCGGGTGATGGGGGGTGGGAGTGGGGGGTTGGGGGGTCCCCTGTGGTCTGGGCCCTCCACTTCCACTGCAGGCCAGCCCCATGTCTGAGGCTGGCCAGCCCCCTGCCTGTTTAAGTGGGGTAATGTACCTGCCTTGTAGGGTTCTTGCGAGGATTAAGTGAGATGCTGAATGTCAGCTGCTTAGCACAGGGCAGAGCGACCATCCTGAGGTGGCCATCACGTTTGTGACCTGCCACACAGACTCACGTCAGGGGGCGCCTGATGGGTCCTGTCACTTGGACCTGCCGCTTGGGGCAGAGCCAGGGCGGGCGCCCTTCCCCAGCAAATCTGCCCCCCTTCAGGGTGGCGTGTCTGTCACTGGCACTCCTGTGCACGTGTGGCGACCGGCCCTCCCCTTTCTGCTCCCAGTACCCCTTGCCCAAGGCTGCTGGGCACTGTTGTTTCTCTGCTGCTGTGAGGGGAGCCAGACGTGGGGCTCGGCCCACTGAGTGCTGCCTTGAGACCAAACCCACACCTTGGGCTCACTTTTAGGAAAATGTATCCTGACTTCTTTTCCTCTGTTGGGGGCAGCTGGGACTGAGACCCAGGAGTGTCGCCACCATAGCTGTATTGCACACGTGAGGCCTGTGCACATATACATGTGTGCATGCCAGGCACATGCAGACAGAACATTTTAAGAAGGGCACATCACACACACACACACACACACACACACACACACAGAACATTTTAAGAAGGGCACATCATCACACACACACACACACACACACACACACACTCTCTCTCTCTCTCTCTCTCTCTCTCTCTCTCTCTCTCTCTCTCTCTCTCTCTCTCTCTGTGCTTTTCTTTCTCTTTGGCCTGAGCTTTGGGTCAGGTTGTTTGAAGGGCTGGATTGTA